TATAAAACTATAAACAAATAGTTTTGCTGCTATTACACTCTATACACAGGTTATATATAAGTATTGGCATGTTTTGGTCACCATAACAAACCACTAAGTTGGTATTGAGAGTCGAAAAGCAACGAGGAGTTACCACCACACACCAGCCAGCCACTCGCTGCCACTCCCTCAACACACGCACTAAACTTTCTCCCCCAACAATACCAGTTGTGGTGTTATTACACTATATACAGACGTTACATATAAGTATGTGTATATTTTATTCACCACAACTGTACAGCTAAGCTGATATAGTTAGTTCAGGCACTAAGAGTCGTCGCTATACACAGATGGCGGCTGGCGGCTCCCTCACTCTTTCAAGGTCACACGCACTAAACTTTCTCCCCCAACAATACCTTTTGCAGTGTTATTACCCTATATACACATATTATATATAAATATCTACATGTTTTATGCACCGTAACTGTACACCTAAGCTTGTAGTGCGCCCAAAGAGCATAGTAGCCACCCTCTAAACAGTTAGACAAATCGTGCAGACGACGTCACCTCCGTCACCCATATGGCTCCTCCCAGCATAATCCTTTTGCTGTTAATACACTAATACACACATTATATATAAGTATCTACATTTGTGTTCACCATAGAGAACCACTGACCTGGTATGGTGAATGCAAACAATAACAGGTGGCCACACAGTCAGTAAACGATGCTGTCTCCCTCCGTCTCTCAGCATCACTCCTCCCACAGCGCTAATTATTACAACAATCCTGCTATTATCAGAACCCTGGTTATTTATATCACAGTCATTGGTCATCTGTAATATTGTCATCGCTAAATAATAACAATTATATATTTATTTTGACATTTTTCGGCGATGCTGTGGTCACAAGCTGAACATCAATGCTGTTCGCTCATGCTGCGTGCGCCGGCCTTGGTTGCTCCAACAGTACTGTGCCTCTCACACCTGAGAATATTGCCCACGATTTTTTTTTTAAATTGCATCTGTTTACAAGAGCCCTGAGGAAGCTACTGTGAACCCCGTGTAGCCGCGGGCCATTTGAATCAGGCCTGGCACCCTATGGCGTATATATACGCCATGCGCACCATGGGACATGTTACTCAGGGCGTATATATACGCCATGCGCAGTTTAAGGGTTAATCACAGAAATAGTGTGTAAACATCAGGAATCAGACCAGTGGATGAAGCTGGTGGAGATGGTTGAAGTGTGAGCGAGTTTTATAACTTCGGTTGTTGGGGACAAGACGGTGGTCCTTAGGCTCACCAAGGTCCCCCCTAGGTTAATTATAGACCTTCCCTATGATGCAACCCACAACAATTACCCAACTCCCAGGTACCTATTTTCCCCAAGTGAAGAGGCATCATCCAGCGAGAGGAAACGTGCCCAATCATTTCTGTCCTGCCCGGGAATTGAACCCAGGTCATTCACCGAGCTGTGATCAAACCACGTTTCTACAGGACCCATTACACAACTTGCAAGAAGAATTTTACATCTAATCTTCTAGCGCGGTGGGAGTTGGCATGGTGGGTGCTGGTGTGGTGTGTGCTGGCGTAGTATGTGCTGGTGTGGTGTGTGCTGACATAGTGTGTGCTGGTGTGGTGGGTGCTGGCATAGTGTGTGCTGGCATAGTGTGTGCTGGCATAGTGTGTGCTGGCATAGTGTGTGCTGGTGTGGTGGGTGCTGGCATAGTGTGTGCTGGCATAGTGTGTGCTGGCATAGTGTGTGCTGGTGTGGTGGGTGCTGGTGTGGTTCACAATGTTGCTGCCTAGTGGTTTAGTGTGGAAGATATGGTAAATCGGAACCTTTGAGTAATTTTCTCTTTGAACAAATAATATAATCTTTGAGTTATATTTTTTCCAGGAGTATGCCTGCCCACCATATTTAATTCCAAAATAATGTGGGTGAATTTTATATTTATTTTGGTACTTAATTTGTTTTATATATATATCCCATCTGTCACTTTCTTCTAATTTGAGTATTGTCACCTTAGCAACTCAGCATCACAATGAGTGTTATATTTTGAGCTATATACATACTTGATAATCATTTCATAGTAATTCTGTAGAAGTTCACTTTGTTTTATTTTAAATATTGGTTAGTAGCTTTTAGTAACATATGTTATATTGAAATTATCTTCATTATATTACAGATTATAGAAGTAAAGCACTTAGTTTAAGTAACCTAAGACACTGTATTTAGTTTCAATTCAGTCTATTATGCTATTATAAAAGATAAGATGAGTCAAGTTTAAGGAGACACATAACCATGCCACTTGCAGAAGTTTAAAGAATTAGGAACAGCAATCTTCAATAAGATTTTGCATCTGTACATTAGTGTACCTGTTGGTGTTAAATTCTGGCATTACTTGGCATCGTTCATAGGACAAGTCTCATACTTTTGAGGCTGGAGTTCGAATCTGATGAAACTGGCAAATTACACAAGGCTTTCAGTGTAACTGCCAAAGTGTAGTTACAGCATGAGAGCTACGTTCATGGTGTCCCGTCTCCCTAGTACTCTGTCGTATAACACTTTGAAACTACTGACAGTTTTGGCCTCCACCACCTTCTTACTTAACTTGTTCCATCTATCTACCACTCTGTTTGCAAAAGAAAACTTTAATATTTTTTTGGCACCTTTGTTTCCTTAGCTTATACGTATCTATGTCCTCTTGTCCGTGAAGTTGCTGGTTTCGGGAATTCCTCTTTGTCAATTTGGTCGATTCCTGTTGGTATTTTGCAAGTGGTAATCATATCACCTCATTTTCTTCTATCTTCTATTTTTGGCATGTTTAACACCTCTAGTCTCTCCTCGTAACCCTTTTTTTCAGTTCCAGAAGCCATTTTGTTGCATGCTAATGGACCTTTTCCAGTTTATTTATGTGCTGCTTTAAATTTGGGCACCATACAACTGCTGCATATTCTAATTTTGGTCTCACTAAAGTCATTAACATTTTCTTTAGTATTTCACCATTCATGTAACTAAAAGCATTGAATTCTAATACCAAATATATTCCTCAGAAAACAGTTCAAAAGCCTTAAGGTAAAAAAACAATGAAAATACTGTACATCACTCAGTTCTTGCCCTAAGGTCTGAATGAAAATGTCTCCAAACATCTCCCCAGTAGGCACCGTTTGGTTGAAAGCTACCGACGTTAACATAACGTTTACAGTGTAATGTCAGTTGCTTGCAAACAACGGTGCCCACTGGGTTGTGTTTTCTAAATGCTGAACTGTAGATTAAATTCATGATGGTTTATTTTATCATTTAAAAAGTAATCCATAGCAACTTAAAACTTTCTACATAATTGTGAAATGAGAGCAGAGGGAATGGGGCGAGGGCAACATAAACAAGACAAGATGCCCGAGACATACAGACGCAAAGAGGGACGGAGCAGAAGTCAGGAAGAGAGAAAACCCAGAGAAAACAGACTTAGACAAAGCTAGACACAGAGATAAACACACTGACTTGTGTTTGAAACGACTAAGGACAAAGTTGCCAAAATGAAAATAAATCACACAATACTTCAAAAGCAAATCTGACAAAATAACGAGAAATTTTGAATAAGTTTGAACCAGACATCCTTGGCAAGTGACAAGCCAATGAGCTACTCTTTGCTACCCACAAGCACTATAAGACAACATATATACACAGCAAATGGCACCCAAGTGCTACATAATTTAATACACGATAACATTCAGTTTATAAATTATATGAGAAGACACTAAAGAACTCAAGTGAAGGAACGGGACTTAGGGATGACCCACGACACTACGTCGTCACTAGATGATCACATCAAAAGTGATCATTAAGAGATGCCCTCAAAAACACAAGTGGCTTCTCAGACCCAAATAATAGAATGTGGCAGTAGCTTAGTATCCATACCTCCATAAATACAAAGAACGAGGGGAGAAAAAGATTCAAACTTGCTACTAACTGCCTCCTCGATCACTAAACTATGAGCTATATGGAGGTGCTGTACTAAACATTTCATAATTAGAAGACATGGAAAAGGGAGTGATATAATTACCATATATAAAATTACGATGGTAATGGATCAAATTGACAAAAAGGGATTTTTTTTTATAAACCATCAACTTCTAGAAAAAGATGACATGGATACAAATTCAGAAAACATAGACGATATAAAACAGCCAGAAAATAGATTTGACAGGGAGTAAAATGATGGAATACATTACAAGAGCGGGTTGTGTGTCCACACCCACCCCCACTGGACACTTCAAAACTTTACAGGACAAAGGATAGAAGAAAGACGGAACACCTCAAACTTAGCTATCATACTGTAAAATTGTATACAAAGATACATATGAATGAGCATACATACATACACAAAAAAATGTTTTAGTGGGGCAGAGGGGGAAGGGAGGGGGTTGGTTATGCATGTATGAATATCATACAAATATAAGCATAAGAACCTCTGTTCATAAGCATGCATTTGCATGTGCAAAATTATGAAGACAAATTTTAGTTCATGATGCTCTTTAGTGTGTGTTAATGAGGAAAGCCCTATAACTTGCAATAAGTCTCTCTCATATCCAATATCTATTTTATCAAATATTTCACGTAAGTAACGTACCCAAACACCTTTATAAATGCATTTAAAATAATTCCAAATTATTAAATTAGTCCACATAATTATTCTATCAAAATAACGAAGTTCAGTAAGTAAGCTCATACAGAAGAAACCACATTTAGTGAAGAGCAGGGAAGAAAGATGAACAAATTGGCCAAAGCAAGCATAAGCAGATTTGAGAATGGGTCAGCAGCTACCATAACCAGTGCACCAATCCAAGACGACCAAACCCAACACTGCATCCACCGACTAGCCACCACAGTAAATCCTAATAGCTACTAATGATATACAGAAAAAAAAATCTCGTAAGCCTTCTAGATTTAGGATAAATCCAGAGCATCCCTTAAACAAATATTATGATAGTTGTAAACCAGGAAGCGTTGACTAACCGGTGGTGGGACGATCCACCCTCCTGGTCACCCGTCCCGATCTGCGGTAAGGGGGAAGGAGTTCCCCCGACCCATCAAGCTCGGTCAGGTCACCACCAGGCCGGATGCCATCACTGAAAATCACTTGTTTGTTTCCCCGACTCCTAGCGCTACTGCTACTGCCTGAAATATACCAACAAGCCAACTGGTGCCGTTAAAAGTACCAACAAGCCAACTGGTGTTGTTACAAATATTGAACAAATGTGCCACACACACAGTGCTGTGTGATCAATGCCAACTGGAGCATAAACAAGCTTCCCAAGTGTAGAAAGATATCACTACCTACTCAAGTGCTAAGACATAAACAGACAATAAAAACTCACCACACCCTCCTTGGGGTAAAATACAAATGTCATCAATATTTCTTGAACATTAAAAGATGCTATCAAGTCAAATTTTCAACTAAAGTGAATCAGAGTCTGATACCTGGTCACGTAGTAAAAGTTTTTGAAAAGGCATCAACCAACACTGCATGTCTATTTTTAAGTAATAATAACCAAAATTATATTAACCCTTTCACTGCAGCAGCACCATTTCCCTCCCATACTTTTCTTGGGTTTATACGAGACAAAAAAATTTCACTTCATTTTTTTTTTTCTCTAGTACAAAAATTACCTACTCTTTTTAGTAGGCCCATTAAAAACAAAATTTGCTGAACAACTACAGAGTAAAAAAATTACGTTATCAAGTCTCCAGTTTTAATGGGAAATAGGATCCACATACCTTAATACCAGGCCATTAATGTTCCCAAGAAATACAGTCTCACAGATTATTACATATCTACTGTATAAAGAAAAGGATGTGTTCTTCTCACACAGTAAATACCACAAAAAATTATTAAATATTTCTAGACAACATAGCAATTAAAAACATTAAAAAATTAAAATATATTTTGACTATTATCTAATTGGAAACATAAGCTGAAGAACTCGAAACCAGTCCATAAATGTTCTCACTATACTGACTTATCATAAAAATAACAAACTTAATCGCTAAGGAATTGTGCGTATTGTATTCCGCAAATACATTAAAATACAAACTCAATACCATACCTACATTTCCAATCATTGATTTTTCATTTATTTGTGGTATTCTTTTGTATCAATTCTACTAAGAAACAACAGTATTCTTTCCATATTTATCATTAATCATTATGCATTGATAATGGTAATAAATTCCTGAACAGGTACTAATTTTCTCCAAAATATTCAGGTCTAGGCTACCGCATTGAGCGACGTTTTACGTTTATTGTTGCCAAACAACTGCAGCTCCTGGGTCCGGACACCTGCTCTGACGAGCATGTGTCACGACAAATGTTGCAGGATGTTAAAACTATATTTTCAATGCATTTGGTAAAGCCTCACATATTGCAGTAACTGCATTTTTTATACAATTTAGCATCAGTCATGTAATGCAGTGAAAGGGTTAATATTTAAACAATTTAATTTAAATTTTGGTTTCGATCTCTCAACCACTGTAAAGTGTAAACCTATATGCAAATTAATTTTCTAAATTTACAAAAAAATTAATATCAAATTTTATGGTTACTGTATATTGTCTGAAAATGGCAAAAATAATATTTTTAAGAAAACAAAATATTTCCATTATAGTTTTAAAATAGGCCTCTTTTCATAGGAGTGAGAAAAAAGGGTTGCTACTTCTGGACACAATTAAGTCCTCATGTGATTAACACACTTATGTTAATGAAAAACTTTTACTAAACCGAGAACCTAAAAAAACAACCACCAATTTACTAAGAGGCAGCAAAGATATATTTGGTAAGCATTTCCAATCATTTTTTGAGGCTTGAAAGACATCAATGGTAAGCTTCCAAATCCTCAACCAGCCATTTCAATCTTTAGGATAAACTGTGAACTACTTCTCATAATACAAATATTAATGATCGGAGATTTAAACCATGTATGAGCTGCAAAACTAGACTGCTTCTGGCTGAATAAAACACAAACTTTCATTGCTAGAAGAACAGATAACTTCCTTGCTGAATGCAGCAGGCAATTCCCATATTTAACAAAGCATGCAACTTCCATTGAATGCAACAGGCAACCCTTGCCGAATGAAATGGGCAACCTCGCTGAATAGAGCAGGAAACTTCCACATTGATGGAAACGTGCAACTTCCAGTGAATGTAACAGGCCACCCTTGCTGTATGAAATAGGCAACAGGTCTGCTGAATGAAACACTGCTTCTTTGATGAATAAAAGACTGTTGTTCTGCCAAATAGAAAAAAACCTGCTTGCTGTCTTCCTGAATGGACCACTACTAGCACACACATTGGAAAAAAAAACTTTAAGCACATTGAATGAAACACTATGATCTGGCAAATCAAAGATATTGCAAACTCTCTCTTGAATGGAATAGAAGTAATGGTAGTCCTTTATCAAACCTACTTAAACTTCAATTTGTTTTATTTACAAATATTGCATTTAAAAATTGCTTAAATCTTGCAGAAACTACTACATATTGCATGTTTATCTAACAGGTACAATTTACTGCTTAGAAAGCAGATGTTAAAAAAAAAAAAACTGCCAATAGGTATTTTTTATTGAGATCTGAACCAAAGACATTTTGAAGAACATAAACATTGTATGTTTATTAAGGGGTTTGCCACTTCATAACCAAGTACTGCCCTTGTCATGGAAGTATGATGATAAATTTTCTACTCAAAAGAGAGAGAACACTTTAGCCTTTCTACAAATAGACTTATCTTCTAAACCTTTTCCTTTATTATGCATAGCTCATAATAAAAGACTTTTATGATTTAACAGCGTCCCTGCCAGGACTTCTATTATTAATCTTCTCATCACTCAAGGTGCACAAGAAGAAGAAGGAGACGAAGGAGAAAGGGAAAGAAATGCTCACTACATTGGGTGTATCAAAAGTACTTGACACTTAATATTTTATATTCTATATTTTATCTCGTTATCTGTTTCGTTCTCCCAGTGAAAATTATCTGTTTCTACCCTCCCAGCGAGTATGAGAAATATTGCCAGAACAACCGTGGACATCTTCGAGAGGAAATTAGATTGTTTCCTCCAAGGAGTGCCGGACCAATCGGGCTGTGGTGGGTATGTGGGCCTGCGGGCTGCTCCAAGCAACAGCCTAGTGGACCAAACTCTCACAAGTCAAGCCTGGCCTCGGGCCGAGCTTGGGGAGCAGAAAAACTCCCAGAACCCCATCAACCAGGTATCAACCAGGTTCCACCACCCATTTTAATTCTGTTTATTTATTTGCAGATAGTGGAAGAATGGCTACACTCAACATTCTCCCAAGTGATGCCCTTTTACTTCAGCATCCTTTATTAACACCATTTTTTAACTACAAAAAATTTACTTGAAAAAGAATCACTATATCAACTTTTAAATCAAGTTGAAGATCAGCAACCCAAAATATGGTAGATTTCAATGTCTACTAAGCAAATCTAACACACTTCAACAAATCAGATTTATTTGATCATATATAATTTAATTGATGCCGAATATTTATAGCTTTCACACATGAGATTTCAAACCAAACTAGGGTCCATAAGCTTACCCGAGCTTCAGATGTCAGATCCTGGACAAAATATGCCTACAAATCATCCTTATCTGTATAGAACCAAGAATTACTTAATGATAAACACCTAATCATTTATAATAACTCCATGTTTGCTGAGATTACTTCCCTCAGACAGATCTCTCTTCACTCTTCTTTACTTTATAATTACAAGTATTTTAATAAGTGCTTTGGTGAGCTTAGAACTATTTCTTTTGGCCATCAGTTAAGTTAAGGTCCCTCAAAAAGCTCCCTCAAGAGCTAATAATGCACAAGCATTATGAGCTATGGAGCCTCCACAATGAATATATAATACAACATTAAATTCATTCACTTCTCAAATCTGCAAAACACTCTCCCAGATTGTATTTCCAACCACATTTGATCATTCAAAAGCCTTGTGTTCCACAATATTTCCTCAATAGACAAAAAATATTGTTCTTGGAAGACGGCCACAGATAACTGATGTCTTATTCCTAGGATTGGCTAATATTAATGTTGATTAAACAAAGCTAATAATTATACTTCCTGTCAAAGAAGACATTTTCACAGTGGATTAGCTTTGTTCAGACTACCTTTAAAATACCATTTCCATATCCAATATAGACAGCAGTCAGTTAAATGTAACATCTGCTTCCAGGATCAAGTGACAGATTCTTATGGCTATGAACAACATAGCATTGTTACTGAAACTTGGGAAACATATAGTTGTTGTATATAGCACTATTTTTACAAACTGGAAACCCCTAAGCTAATTGAAATTGTGTGCTGGTATTTATTCCAATCAAGCATATATTTCATGTATCTGGTCCATCAACTGCATTGTGACACGAAGTCACTGAAACTACTGTACGTGGTCGTTACCCTACAATGTTTTCAAGATAACAATACGTGAACTTATGCACTTACACACACGCGTGCGAGAACATCTTACCTTTCTGGTCATTTACTTTAGTTCACAAAAGCTGCAACAACTCTGCAAATTCCTTGCTAAATAAAGAAAACACAAATTCCCTTCTATATATCATAGCTCAATGTACACTGACATTACCTTATTAAACAGACAACATTTTTATTACTATTAAACCTAAGTAATCTTCATGTGAGGAATAAAGGTCATAAGACCATAACAAATCCCCACACAGATGGGCATTTTCTCAGCTCCAACTTGGTAATACTTCACAAAGGATCAAAACAATGACACCTTTTCACATCTATAATACAGTATATGGGTTTAGTTTAATTCTCACTTGATCAAAATACTGTCTATATATATAGATATATATATACAATCAATTTGCAATCGGATTGTTCAACATGTTACCAATCAGGCAGGAATGGTTGGTTGTCTTGTGAGTTGCTAGTAGCAACAGTCTGGCTGATCAGTCATCAGGATAGCCTGGTTCCAGGTCAGACAGGCTTTATGAGTAGAAACACTCAGGATATCGGTAATATAATTAAGGTAAAATTTTTAACTTCCAAGTGGAAAGGATCATCAGGGCAAATGGGGAGACCTTTGACAAGTTGCTGGCTTCCTGTACTCGTCGAGGCCACTAGTATTAATGCCCTTGGGTAAACTCAGGTAAAAATAATTGTGAATGCAGATGATGAGGTCACAATAACGTGGCTGAAAAACGTTGACCAAACCACACCCTTGCCTCCCTCGTCTCATCACTATCAACTTGATAATGGTTCAAGATGGACCAAAATGTCGTCGTCTCTTCAATTTCTAGTGTGGTTTCGTCAACATAATTGTGAATGTTGCAATGCAGGTTCTCCAACTGTTTAGTCACAACCATTTAGTAAGCCAACACCAGGACAAATTTATGATACAGCAATGAATGTGTCCACTCGGCTTCATTTTAAATATAATGGATGAATCAAGGATTTAAAAGTATCCCATAAATACAGTACCATTTCTCTATTTATAACTTTCATGGGACAAGGAGATATCAGCCCAGAGAAAATTGACAAATAATACAGTGATAGTTATATACAGTACAAAAAAAAAAGTACAAATATCACGCATTCAGTTATAATTTACACTACAGTACAGCATATAACATCACAGATAAATAAGCACCACTTCATTCTAGCAATCCTCCACGACAGTACCTCGCTGCTTCATACAATCAGGTGTACAGTGCTCCTCGTAAATTGTCATATACAGTATAGTGCAGTACGTAGTTCCTTCAGCATCTGACTGACGTTCTTTTAAACAGATACAGATGATACAGATTGCGAAGAAATTTAAATGTTGGGATGTTTGTTATTTGGTTAACTACTTATCAACACATTTTGGGAATTCCTTTCAGAGTACTGTAAATGATAGAACCTATCTTTGTGCATATTTAAAAATAAATATAAAATAAACATTAGACTCCTCTTCTTCTATACTCTTTTTCTGCCAAATGAATAGAACCTCACCAGGGTTTTGGCAAAATTACTCGTTTCTGAGCATCTCAAAGTACCAAGAGAACAAGTTAATTGTCCTTCTGGTATTTTGTAAATTGTTTTATCCCTCTTCTATATTGGGAAGAATGACACTTCGACACGAAATACCCAGTTTGTCGACATCATGTAACGTGTGAGGAGATGCATGTTCAAGTTGGATGGGTGTTCATAGCTTCAATATAATTTCAATAATAATTTAAATTGATCTTCTAGTTTACATAATGCATTTACCCAGTTTAGACTTGGTTTATGCACACAAAATTAACAAAAGCAACAATTTAGGCTTACACTGTAATATCTGGACCTCTATCACATAAACCTGGTGCTTAACAGATGAAGACTTCGCCATTGATATCCAGAACGACTGCTGGGTTGGCTTCTTCGCCTCTTTGGTACATATACCCTGGGCTGGAGTTGGCTAAAAAATAGTTTTGCTTACTTTGTAGGGTGACATTTTGCCAGATTAGGGGGCACAGAGTGCATGAACATTTGGCCTTAAGGTTGCCTGCATCAGTATTTTCCTTTATGTGCTTTTTCACAATTCAATTACATGGCAACCAACAGCCCTGTAGCTCAAGATTTTCACAGACCCAACCCAACTCAGCTAGGTTGGGGGATTACCCTCCAACCATTGCCACACTGGTTTTGCTCATCGATTTCCAGCACCATCTTTCCCTCATCCCAAAATTAGAGTTGGTGGCAGTTTGGATGTTCATTTTGTGCATTTTCCACTTGGTTTGACAATCTGACTTCATCTGTACTCCCTGGAGGTCCATTGCCAGAGGCATTGGATGCATATTGTCTGGACATTAACAGATGGATATCAAACCATATTATGTGCGTCCTCAGATGTGGTTTTTGTACCCGGTGTTGTTCAAACTAGAGTGCTTACCGAGCACGAATTTTATTGGCTTGAGTGGCTAGTTTGCCCTTGATCACCAACCCCTACATTTTCATTGCTCCCATCTGGTTCACTTCCCAGACCTCAACCTTCTCCAAATAATTGGCAGCAGGACTTATGTAGATAGTTATCTTTTTGCCTAACTTCATGAATGGGTTTTCTGAATTTAATTTTTTACCACATGTATGGGCTGTAGGTGGTAGACCTTAGTCCCTCATTTGCAGGCTTCCTCTCATCACTGTTGTAAAGTTACTTGGAGGTGTTTTTCAATATTTTTGTTACAGTTTGACAGAACTCTTCGTTGTTAATAAGCCTACCCACATCTTTCCCATCTTGTTTGTTATGGAGCTTCACTTTATGCCTAAAATCATGGTGTCTTACAATCTTCAGCCTTGATCTTTCATCTCTTCTTTTTCCAATTCTTAGACTTTTTTCATCTTTACACCGTTTATCAGTAGTTGATTCCAATTCGATCTTTCTACTTCCCAAGCCCACATTGGGGCTAGGCTTAAGTCGTGATAACTAAATCAGTAAGACTGTTACTTGCAAGAGCTAACAGGCCCACATATTCATTACAACCCAATTAGTCTAGAACTTCAAACAGGACCTTATCCAATTGTCTTTGAACACCTCCACTTGTGTTTCACAATTTTTTCTTACATCTGGTAGGAGGATGTTGAAGGACCATGAACCTCTGATGCTCGGTGTTTTCTGATTGTACATATGGCATCTCTAATCTCCAACTGACCTATTTTGCATTTCCTACCATCTTTCATTCCAGTAGGTGGTTATTTTTTTATGCATAATTTGGGACATGGCCCTGTGATGCCTCCCTCACCTTGCATAATGTGGAGTCAAAACTGATCACAGGATTCTTCAAGAAATTAGCAAAAATTCTATTCATGGTTTTTGTCAAATTCAAGGGAAATTATATAATAACAGAAACTAATTACTCATAAAATATTTGATCCGTATTTTATACTTTACACTCTTAATAAATAAATTTACACCCTTTTAAAAGGAAATGAATGTTAAAAGAAATCTGAAATTTTTATCAAAAACTTAAATAATAAAATTTATTGCCAAGACTCGTTTTCTGTAAAGACAGTATGCCAAGACATTACCATTTTTGTTGACGAGTTTGAGCTCCTCGTTCTACGTGTGCCTCACATCAAATAAGTGATTATCACCAATACTGCAGTACATAATGGAACATGTGAGTGCTTTACCCCGCATACAGATTATGAATATAAAAACATTTGTAATCATACAGAGAAATCAAAACAGCAAAGTAAGTTCATTATCTAAGCAACAACCCAACAAATTTAAAGCACAGCAACTCAGAAAAGCTGGTACTCAACTCAAAAGTGCTACAGAATGCCTAAACCAACTACAGCACTGTACAGTATGACAAAAACTGTGGTACTTACCTTCGCGCTTCAACACACCAACAGGAACCATAACAGTGGGAGGGGGAACTGCCGCTGAAGCTGCTACTTGTTGGGGAGGAGGCACACGAGAGCAGTATTCCATAGGATTATTGGGGTCTGGAGGCCGCCTCTGACTGTCGGGTTGCTGCCGACCTTGTCTCGCATCTCCGTCATGTCCATCTTCTTGTCCCCCCAAAGTAAGAATAATAAATTATTACAACCAATCAACTGCTGCTGAAATGTAACTTATTATTTCAGGTCTAAGCCCACCAAACTTATTTTGCATCCACCAAAGACATAAATTGGAAAAGATGCATAAAAACTTGATAAAATGTAATAATGGCAAGAAAGAATAAAGAGGACATTACACCTCTAAAACATGTATTAAGACCTGATTGATTGATTGATGAAGATTAAGCCACCCAAGAGGTGGCACGGGCATGAATAGCCCGTAAGTGGTGGCCCTTTTGAGCCATTACCAGTATCAAGAGCTGATACTGGAGATCTGTGGAGGTGCGAATGCACCCTGCATGACGGGAGATGTCTCCCTTATGAATGTGTTAAGATGAAGATGAAGCAACCCAAAAGGTGGCACGGGCATAAATAGCCCGTAAGTGGTGGCCATTTTAAGCCATTACCAGTATCAAGAGCTGATACTGGAGATCTGTGGAGGTGCGACTGCACCCTGCATGACGGGAGATGTCTCCCTTGTGAATGTGTTAAGATGAAGATGAAGCCACCCAAAAGGTGGCACGGGCATAAATAGCCCGTAAGTGGTGGCCATTTTAAGCCATTACCAGTATCAGGAGCTGATATTGGAGATCTGTGGAGGTGCGAATGCACCCTGCATGACGGTCTCCCTTATGAATGTGTTAAGATGAAGATGAAGCCACCCAAAAGGTGGCAATTAAGACCTAAATGTATAAATAAAAAAAATATATGTATATCATGCATGTTTCTGTTTACTTAAAGATAAACTCTTACAGGAAACCATAGGCTAATGTACACGCAACAATTTATTATAGGTTTCATTGCAATATGTTACAACCTATTAACAACACAATACAAAATAATTTATTGTGCGAATACCATGTTAAAAATGGACTGATGAAAGGAAAAATTAAGACTATCCATTAACAAATTAATGCTTATATGAGATTTATTGTCTTGAGTATATTTTGCAGTTCAATCTTTTCAGTATTCCTAATTACACATAATGTATACCTTGCGTATACCTTGCGTTGACTTTGGGGGATCAACGTCCCTGTGGCCCGGTCTCTGAGCAGGCCTTCTACCGTTAATGTTAGGTACCTTTCTACAATAGGTACATTACCTAAGTAACATTACATATGCAACATAACACTTAGCTAGGTACCTTACTTAATTAATGTACCTTTAATGCTAGGCACAGGAAATATTAACTCTGCCTTCACTTATTTTTTTAAATTATTATTGATCATACCCTAATGGCACTGTAACAATGAGGCTATTGACAAAGCATAAAATATGATGTTTTAACCCGTGGGTTAGGTTTATCATCTTGGCTTGCCTTCTCCAGCAGGCATTAAACTACAGGGAATACAACTACAGCTCAATTATCTGCTTTCTGGGTTGTCAGAGTATGCAGTCCCTGACCACACACCCTTCCCCCCCCTCCCCTCCAATGAAAAAAATTTCATGGTCCCTTGACCATGAAAATGTAGTAGCCCACAGGAGTTCTGAAATGAAACAAATACAATATCTCCCACATTTGGGGTGAATATTTATGAACCAGTTGAGTTTTTACCACAGGCTAACAGTGTTATGGCTATTCTACATAAACCAGATAAATGGAATTAGAATTAGATTTCCTACTCTCTTCACCAAATCAAACAGCATTTCCTATGATATTCAACAAGTTCTGGAATTATTTAAAATTCAGACACTAACAGGATTTGATAATATTTTTAATATTAAAATGCTTTCATTTCCTCATCAACACTACTCTGTTCTGTCACGTGAATGCCCTGCATAGCAGTGGAACTGCCTTTTCCCTTCACCTTCAATGCCTCTGCACTGGAAGTCTACATTTACACCAGCCCAGATGAGTCATCAGTCCTGCCACCTCTCTGTACCCCCCAGGGCCTGGCACAGCCTGGAACGACTCAAGAGGTAAACCGGGTGCCTCTGCTAACCAGTAGTTTGCCTCCACAAACAAGCAGTTAGCCACCTTCAACTGGCAGTGGTGCAGCTCAACACAAAGGCACCGCCAGCCAAAAACGAGCAGATTGCTAGTTGACCAGATGTTCACCTTGCATTGACACTGGATGAGTCACCACCCCCGGACTATATAAAGGGCGCTGCCTCCCTGGAGAGCCTGTCTCTCCCTTAGTGCTCTTGGAACACCTTGGTGTCTCACCCGTCGCCTGACTTCAGCCAACGCCGTGTGTCTGATGCCATGGTGGTATGGTAGCTGTCTTCAGTATACCAGTATATCTTTTTGCTTTGTATTAGAGTTAAACTTTCATTTACTTATTTGATATGCTATATAATAATAGCCAAGTATTGTCATGTGTCATTTTTGTTCATTAATATTTCAGTAAATTGTTTTAATTATTTATTTGATGATTTTAATTTGTTTCCACCTGCAACTTACACACTGCAAGGCCAATAGCAGCATTTTTTTTATTTGTGTGAGGGAGATAACATCTTGGTTCCATACCATCTTGGTTCAATGTATAGCTCCCATTTCATCAAGAATGTATGAAATTTAACGCCTGTATACCACAACCCGAGCCTCCTTGTAGTCCATGTATGGAAGGGGAGCGGGCCAAACAGGTCCTGGAATATAGTAGCTCTTACAGGAAATGTGCACACTCAATAGCAAAGATGGTGCCTATGAAGGAGGAGGCAAAAGGTGCTGTAGTAACCATTGAAGTTGGAGCCACTCCAGGTGACGTGGTAGTCACCACTGGGGGACTCGGAGATCAACCTTGCCAAGGAAGAGGCTGGGGAAGGGAGAGGATCCAAAAGGGCAGACAAAGCCTGGTCAGGGCCTACTACAGCCAAAGCTATAGAGCCCAACCTTCCAACAGTCAGACTTGGGGGGCCTGGTGGCTCACCCCATGAGTCTGAGGTGAAATATCAAAATTAAAAAAAAAATTGGATATAGACTTTTGCTGTCCAGCAACCCCACCCACCATGGAGCCCAAAAAGGGGAGACACAAGCAGATGGGCAAGCAACCTCAGGGGAAACTAGAAAAGTGTATGTGGATCACCCCTGAAAAGTCAAATGACCAACTGTCTAACTAGGTTGGCTAACCACACAAGCCAATTGATTCAGGTGACCAATGCTGGTCCTCCATGTAACCCCCCCCCCCAACACCCACCCACCCACTATAGTAGGGTGTTGCTCCCCAGAAGGCTGCAGCCGCTGGGTAGGCTCGACTTTCAGACGAGGAAATACAGGAATGTATGAGTCGCCATACATGATTAACAGAGAGGAGTGCAATTTGATCGTGTGCCATTACAGCAGGCAAGAGGGGAGCAGGAGTGACCTCACCTACCTATGGTGAAGCACAAGAGCACCCCCGCCCCCTCACCTTGTCAAGAAACTACTCACCGAGGGGGAGGTGACAACTAGAAATGATTATTTCAAGTACAGCAGCTTTTAATGTAATTTAACCACAGTAACTCACCTGGTGTGACTCTTGAGGGAGACTCGGACTGAGCAACAGGTTGCTGTGGTCTTCTGTCTGGTGATCCTAGATCTCCATCTGTGAGCGTACTACTGGACGACAATGTATCTGTACCTGTACTGTTACTAGATAAATTGTCACCTCCATCTCCATCTTGGTCTCTCTCTCCCACATTTTCACTGGAATCTCCAATTTGACTTCTATGAGGATGACATATCACTTCTTCAACACCATCTGCAACAGGGTGATCCGAGAAGCTAAGGCTTTCCTGAGCTATAATGTCCTGAATGCCAGCCAAGGCACACTGTCCTTCTTCACGATCACCGTGATGTCTCTGCCACACCAATGTTTCAGGGATCGGATGCTCTTCAGTTTTTACTGCAGCACCTGTAGCTTGCAGTGTCTCACTACTACCTCCTACATCAACTTCTGGTGCAGATTGAGAGGTACTTGTGCCACCTATTAAATCTGGGCCCCCAGCTAAGCTGGCTTCATGAGTTTGCTCAACATCAGAGCTACTGACCTCTCCTGTGCTGTCTTCACCACTGTTCAGTGATCTTGCCACACTTCCACCATATGCTCCCTGTAACCGGAACTGTTCTTCTTCCAGCTCAGCAAGCTCTGCATCAAGGTCTGCATCATCAATATCAGCATTTTTGCTAAAGCTGATAGGAGCCATACTAACAGAACTTACATCAGGAAGAGATGGCTGTGGAGCCACACTTACAGGTTCAAAAGTTTGAACTTTATCTAATCTAGCTATATTATCACAGATTGGGTTTACATGATCCTGGAGAATACCAGGGACATTATCAATGCTATGAGCACCTTCCTCGTGAGAAGCATGACTCACATTATCCGAGACGTAAGTATTACAAACAGCCCCTTCAACTATGGATGAGGAGGTATCCAAATGACTCTGTTGCTCTGCAGTTTGGTGAACATTTACAACCTCAGGTATTCTACTGCATGACTGACTCTCCATTACAATGGCAGGCTCATTCATTTGTAAACTGGAAAGAGCATTTTCCATTACAATTGCAGGTTCAGAGTAATCTGTACCACTAATTGTTCCTTCACTGGCTACTGAACTGTCAATGCTGTTCACTGCCATGAGATCCGGCAGATATCTGTGTTCTTGTAGATCCACACAACTAACTGGTCCATTTACATGTTCACTCTGCACTTCCTGTATTCTTTCTTGGACATCACTGGTAATGTGTGCATGACCAACTACCTTTGGACACACACTTTCACTAGGTGGGGAAGTTGATGTGCTGGCCTCTGCTCCACTCTGCCACACATCAATAATATCTGGATGTCTTGTTTCATGCCCACCGGCCAGACCTCGGTCTGGAGGTACACTTAACGGTACAACATCTAAAGGTCGAGATGCAATGACATCAAGCTCTTCACATGGAATATTTTTATCCAAAAGATCATTTCCTATCTCTCCATTTTCTGAATTTGCAGAGCTAGTTTCAGAAAGTTCAGGAATATGATAGTCTGGTGGCATAGCAGGTACTCGAGAACTAATGTTTCCTGTACCTCCATTGCTTAATGGCATTCCATATTTTTCAGCAGCATATGGCTCAGCTTGGACATTAGGCATAGAAGCTTGTGTAAAGTTACCTGCAGAAGAAGCAGCTATTACTGGCCATAATGACTGTGAAACAGCAGAATGCTGGTTCATAAGTAAACTTCCTGTTCTGACAGATGCGTCCAAGACATCACCCATGTGTAACTGTGGCACTTGTGGGGAAGGCGGTAACTGCACATTAGGGTGGAATGGCAGAGGTTGTGGTGTTGGATGAGAACAAGCTGCAGGTGGTTCACTATCATCATTCTGCCCATCTGGTGGGCTCCGTGTCCCAGGTGGTTGAGCCTCTCTGTCAAGTCCTCCTCCACACCAAGGTTGAGTAATAGCAGCAGCTCCAACTACTTGAGGCTGCAAGGGTTCACTCCAGCCACCAAATGCACCCAATCCTACACCATGTCTTGCAGAAGCTGGTGGTAATGTGCCTCCACCATCTTGACAAAATTCTAATTGTAATTTTTCATACTGGTTTACAGATTCACTCTCATCTAAAAAAGGAGAAAACAACACTTTATAAGAAAAATAATAAGAAAAACTATAGCAATATTTATAACAATGTATACATTTCAGTACTGTATATAGTTTCATACATTAAAGCAAAAATATGGTATGCAACATCAATGGACAAAAAAAAATTAAGATATCTGCATTAAATATACTGTACAGTACTTGTGAATACTATATATTATTACCTTCATCTAATTCAAAGTCATCCAGCACTTTATCAAGATCAACAGCAAACTTCTCCATGGTCCTTTCATGCCCAAGGTGTGTTCTGAAAGATATTATTTCTAGCTATAGTTTCAAAATATATATTTGAAAATTTTGTATTGGCCTAAGAAACTCTCAAAATATATAAAACCTAACCAGGCAAGTCTTACCTAACCTTACCAAACCTAGAGTACAAATCCCAGTTTCTGAACATTGGTGCCCACCCCCTGTTCTGCAACATATTAGAATCTGACCAAACTGTCAGTTGGATTAACCCATTTTAGGTAGAGGGGGGGGGGGGGGTAGAAATAGCCAAAGCTACTCTATCCCTTTAAGATGTTTTTTTTCTTGTCTCAATAAACATACTTGAACTTGAATTTGAAACCATTTTAGGATCCCAAAAATATGCAGCTACAGTATGTTGGAACAGACAAACACCCAAGAAAATTGTTGAAAACATCTTACTAATAAAAATTAATTATTTATGTCAACACTGTAAATGCTTTACCCATATGCTTCAAATACAAATACAGTAATTATCAATAGAACTTAAACACTTAGCTATACATATAACTTTAATGAATAAAATTTTTAATTTATATATATAAGAACAAACCTATTTTTAATACACAGTACATTAAAATTGATGAATATGTCATAGGGGATGGATGCTACATTAACAAGCCTGGCCTGAAGATGGGTTCTCTCTCAATTTGGGCATTTATTTGTTCCAACATGGTTGCACATTCTTGGAATCCTATACATGGGTTAACCCAACTAACAATTGGGTCAGATTCTAATATAATGAAGAACAGTTGAGGAACGATAGCATAATTATCAGGAGAAAGCCCTAAGCCAATACAACTGAAGGTAGACATCTAGAATGGTACAATATGCATAATAATAAGTATCTAGGGAACGATGTCAAAATTTGCACCCTTTCTGGTCTCTGGGCAACACCACCAAAATTACTAATCTTCAAGCGAGTTAAAAAGTATCACACACACAAGCACGCACCATGTAACCTTGCATATCAATACTAGGCCTTAAAAGTCAGAGATTTCAAAAGACTGAGTCACCAAACATGTCCAGTTTCTAGTATCCAGATACCCTATGACATTACTGTACCACTAGAAAACACAGAGACTTTATAAACACACTAGAAACTTGAATCACTCAAAATAAAGTAACAAGACAGCGCATTCAGCCCTCAAATCACTCCCCTGCTGCCCAACCTACACGTATAGGCACACACTACACACTATATCGCCACAGAAATACGATAAGGCAAAACCTGTGAGAAGAAACAGCTTATCCAATTAAGACTTAAGAGCCCTACAGCTGGGATACGAGAACAAGGAGCTGTGAGGTTATGACGAATTATCCCAAAAACAAAAAAAAAAGGTTTCCAAACCACTTGCACAACAAAAGGGGGAAAACATCGAACTCCGACCATGCAAGATGCGCAGTTTCTTGCATAAAACTGCAAGACGCAGTTTCTTCGCAGTAAACCAAGGCAGTTTACCGACCAGACCTGTAGCAAATTCGCAGAGACAAATGTATGACGGAGTTAACCCATGTATAAAGGTCTCCTTGACACAGTCAAGACTCAACCATAACACTTCTCTCTCTTTCTCTCTCCCCGGGGGCTCCCAGCCTCCTCTCACCTTACCTCAGATCATCTCAAGTGTCAAGCATAGTGTCCCGACGGTGCCTGGTAGGAGTCATGTGCACACGAAGCGTCTCAAAGTGCAGGTAAATGGTGGGAAGTCATAGGACTCGTCGTGACGTCACTCAACACAACAACAGTACCGCCCCGCTGACGCGCGCCGTGCGCACTCCCTTCACTTGCCCTTAATTCCACTCCATTATATATATATCTTTAAAATCAAATAAAAAAATAATAATAGGGGGTGGTAAGAGAGGAAAAGATTACAGTATTCAGTGAGAATCCACAAGGTCTTCTCTGAACACTATTTTCTTCTTTGAGGATGTGGGTCCCTTTAATTAAAGCAGTGGTGGTATTTTTACTTGTCAAAAATATATATAATAAATATTTTTCATTTCTAGCTTTGCAGTATCACGCAAAAGGACTAATACATTAGATAATTATATACTAACTTATATGAATTGAAAGTCTTAAGGTTAAGTACATTTTTAGAAAAAAGACTTAATATGTCCTCGTCGATATACAGTTAATTTCTTATGATTCGAATGTAAATGAATCATTTACTAGAGTTTCTAGTAAATGATTCGAATGCTAAACTATTAAAATATACTGATCTATCACATTTAAGAACGGGGAGCTGCGTCAGATTGAAAGAAAACTACAACATTCAAGGTACATACATCACACGGAAATTTTTCAGCAGAATAATGCCCGAAACGCTATGCGTGCTAGTGGCTATACAAGAATGTAAGAACTCTTGTATATAAATAAATAAATAAATAAATAAATAAATAAATAAACGTATGGTATATACACCTATGCAGACGATAAGTAACAATAACGTGCCTGAAGATATAATGGTCAAGGACGAACCAAAACATCGTCGTTTCTTCATCTTCTGATGTGTGGTGATCATTATATACATCTATATCAATCTATATAAATTGGTCCCTGTGGCAGAGTGGTAAGGCATACTCGACTCGCGCTTCACGAGCTATTTATTTGTCTTGGGTTCGTATCCTGGCTGGGGAGGATTGACTGGGCGCCAATCCTTAACTGTAGCCTCTGTTCACCCAGCAATGTATGGTTGTTAAAGGATTTAGCGGGTCATATTCAGGGGAAAAATAAGGTTAATAAGACGTATTATCCTATTAATAAGATAATAAAATTTATTACCTTATTAATAAGATTAATACGAAAAATCATTTTTTTTTTAATTTTTTGATTAAGGGCCTGCTCGAAACGCTATGCGTGTTAGTGTCTTTACAAGAATGTAAAAACTCTTGTATATATAAATAAAATAAAAAAATAGACCTACGTATATATAACATATAAATTTACGAATATATTAGCGTGAATTTCATATTTAAAAGCCGTGTATTCAGAGCTGGGCATTTGCCCGGGGGGCCCCTACAATCATAGAGGCCCCCCACGAGTATAGGACATGTTCATTATGGAAGCATAGTGTTCAAGTTTTTAAGGCTTGTTGCAAGCACACTTATATAATATAATCCTACATCCTGGTGTGGGACTAAATATTTAAGATATATATTTTCAGGTGAACAACCCTTTCAGCAGAAATGAAACGAAGTGTTCTGACTGGAGCACTTATTTTGTATGTATGTACTTTTACCTAAATTATTATTATTATTATTATTGGTTTTTATTTAATGTATTTATTTAATATATACGTGGTCACTTCAAGTTCAAGTTCAAGTATGTTTATTGAGACAAGAAAAAAATACATCTCAAAGGGATAGAGTAGCTTAGGCTATTTCTACCCCCTTCTACTTCAAGTCCCTCAAGGGGCGCACAAATTCAGTGAGTACAGATACACAAATCACAATACAACATTTAACATTGCATATTAATATAGTAAGTGTTACAATCATTGGGGCAAAATTCTTGTAGTTCCTAAGTATTCTGTCTATCATATCATTATCACACATCCAAACAATTTGAAGTGGTACACTACTTATTTCCTTATTTCTATGGTTATCCATAATTTGACACTTTAATACATAATGGTCTTCCAAGTTCAAGTAGGTTTATTGAGACAAGTTAAAAAAAAAAAAAAAAAAAAAAACTCAAAGATTAGCTTAGGCTATTTCTACCCCTTCCCATACTTCAAGTCCCTCAAGGGGCGCACAAATTCAGTGAGTACAAATACAAGAATCCCATGTAACATATCAGGTTAATATAGTACTATCTAAGAGTATAATAGTGTACATCCACCGCACTAGATTTTAACCCATTAACGCTCCAAGATAATATTCTCACTCTACTTTCATCCATGATTTAATAAAACTACCTTTGCCCTGTCTGTCACATTCCATGAGATACGAGATTTTCTCAGACAGACTCTCCCAACACTGTAACATTTCTGCTTTCTCCTCATTTGCACAACAGCTACTAGCATCAAAGGTGATCTTATTCATATCTAATTTCTTTCTTATTTCTCTATACCGTTTTACTTTAACCTTTGTTTCAACATTTGTCACTACAGAAGGTTGAACGCTAACACTACTAGAAAGTTCATTTTCCTGACTATCCTCTATCATCAATACGTCATGTTCTTCCTTACTTTCTTCAACGCACATTTCACGTCCTGTTTCACTTTCCACTTCACGTCCTATTTCACTTTCCATTTCACGTCCTGTTTGACTTTCCATTTCACGTCCTGTTTCACTTTCCATTTCACGTCCTGTTTCACTTTCCATTTCACGTCCTGTTTCACTTTCCATTTCACGTCCTGTTTCGCTTTCCATTTCACGTCCTGTTTGGCTTTTCATTTCACGTCCTGTTTGGCTTTCCATTTCACGTCCTGTTTGGCTTTCCATTTCACGTCCTGTTTCACTTTCCATTTCACGTCCTGTTTCACTTTCCATTTCACTTTCCACTTCACGTCCTGTTTCACCACCATCTTCACCCCGTCTACCCCCCATAGTTAATTTTTCTAATGCCTCAATCCTCTTTTCTATTTTTTTTAAATATTCCAATATTTGAGTACCAACCTCAGAGTTCACTATATTGACCTGAACCTTGTTTCCACAAGGTTTAATTTTTTCAGCTGCATTTCCTACTTTCCCTAGGCTCGCCTTAATTGTCTCTGTTCCTTTCTCCCACACATTGTTCATAGGCGCTGTCATTGGCTTCCAACTGTTTCCTCCATGTTCCTGCTGCACAATCTTTCCTTCCTTCGAGGATACATCTATCCTGCTTGTAGCACCCGTCCTCGAGTCTCTCAGATGAGGCTTCATGCGACATAGATAGGAACCAGCATTGTGGCTTCCTCGACAATTGCAACAAGATGGGACGATTTTTTCACCGTTTTTAATCTTGACTCTACACTCTCGAGAGTCGTGTTTTTTACCACAGTACTGACACCTGGAGTCAAACTGGCATTTCCAAGCCATATGTCCCCAACGAGAACACTTCATGCATAATATGGGCTCCTCAATGTATTTTACAACTTTCCTGTAGCCTAGTCCTTGCACAAAAATTCTTTCTGGAGCCTCACCCTTTACCAAGGCAACAACCTGGCTTTGTTTTTCACCACGAACACTGTTCCTCTTTGCCCAAACAACACTATCATTGTTGAGCAATAGATAATCAGGATCCAAATAAGTTGGATACTTAAACACTATGACCTTGGTGTACATCATACCTTTTTCCGGAGTAACCATCACAATATTCTCAAACCCATCCTTCGTTAGGTGTTCCACGGCCTCTTCTGTCCCAACTGTTATATAGGGCCGGTGAAGACCCTCCTTGAATAGTGGTTCATATTCAAAAAACTCCTTAGCCAAACGAACCGTCCACTCCAGCTTTTGATGGAAATTCAGTTGACATGCTGTAGGGAACAACAGCCTCTTCCTTCCATTAGTCTGCATCTCCCGCGTCCTGCTGAGCATGTCTTCATTTTTTGGTCTCTTTGTTATTTCCTCCTCACTGTCTTCGTCTCGCTGTCTTTGAATATTTCTCCGTTTATATCTGTTTACTACTTCTTGATACGGCCTAGTATCATCCTGTCTGCCATCCCCACTGTCACACTCTCCAGGCCCAGTACAGGATCTTCCATCACCTAGGCAGACCGCCTCAGCCATTTCCTCGATACACAAAGGCACTGTATCACTGCAACAGTCGAGAACAAATTCACAACATCTAGCTGCAGCAGCCACGTGCAAACACGAAGATGCGGAGCAACACGTCCTCCTCGCATCATGCAGCAGACCGCGTGTGCGTGGTCACTTCTTCCAAGGCTAGGCTCCTACCAGTCAGATTAAATTCTAACTGGCCAGGATAGGCTCGTCTTAGCCAGGCTAGGCTCTTGCCAGTCAGACTAGGCTAGGCAGGCTAGGCACCTACAAGCCAGGCTAGGCTCCTACAAGCCAGGTTAGACACCTACCAGCAAAGCTAGGCTCCTACGAATCAGGCTAGGCCTTTCATCACCCAGACTAGGCTCCTCCCAGTCTATTAGAATCTTGAGCCAATTGCGTAACTTTGGGATTTGAATAAACTATATTTATCACAGGAGCATTAATTAATGAACCTATAATAAAAATGATTACCAATTATGATTTCAATTGAATGTATTACATCAGAATTCAATTCAGTTCAGTATCAGCTATATGACGTTCCTTTATTTTTTGGTAAATGACTACATCTGCCAGTCCTGGAACTTCTCTTCCCTGGCACTCTGTAGACTTGTGCAATTAAGATGTATATTCGTATGTTTTCATATGTCTTATAGGTTCATTCATTTCATAATTTTGAGGTTCTGCTTATAGCTCTATAATGCTCATCGTGGTTATAGCGTTGACTCCTAACTTATCAGCCAGCTTTCGACTAATGAATCAATAGATGTGGGATTATTGCACTGTTTCAAGCGAAGGTTAAACATACATATATGAATGAGCTTGGGCGGATATAGATAAGAGCTGCCGTCTCACGAGCCAATAGGCCTTTTGCAGTTTCCTTTATTCTTATATTTTTACGAAAGACCTTCACCTTATAGAGATGTCACTTCCACTCGTTAGTGACTGAGGCAGTTGGCGTCTAATGGTAGCCAGACTTTTAGTTTTTGTACTCTATTAGATTTGACACGCAATTTGGTAAATACTTGGAGTACTAGGCCTATGTGTTGTAGTTTCAGTATT